TTCAAATGTAGGTAACCACATATGCGTGATCTAGCCTAAGCCTAACTTTACGCAGCGCGAATGGTCGGCAGATGAATTCGATTGTCCGTTTCGACTTTGCTATCTGAGACTCGCATTGTTCAGAAAAGTCAAGCGTTACCAAGTAGGTCCCGAATGGGACTTCAATGCATCAGATGTTCATCATGGTGTCTACGTCTTTCAGATGCAATGTGACATCTGATGGGAATGATTCGAATTCGTTAACGGACGGAAGTCTTGTGGTGTTTGAATTAAGATTAGCTGGAGCACTGAAAGGGAGGTCTGTGAGGAGGGAAAGTGAATACATGCAAATTGTTGTCGTCGGATGTTCCACGAATCATTTCGGGGGTAGAGCAATTTATCATTTGGGTGCACTGGCAGACTTCGGTCAAATAAGCTGTGAGAGCATTAAGTATAAATTGCAGCTGTCATGACGTGAGTCCACCCTAAGGTCCGAAAGCACCGCAGGAAGAGTGATGCCATTTAGCTGGCGTCTAACGTCATGGTTAGTTTTAAGATTGGCTGCCGAACCATCACCACTTTCCCCAAATAACCTCGAAGGAAAGTGATTGGTTAATCGTTGGTGAGCAAGTGTAGTGTGACGCAGGAACAGCGCTGTCCATTTGACTCCACTGTTCAATTTGCTTCATTTTGATTTCCACTATAGACTGCAAGATGATAAACAGGAGTATCCAGGGTACAATGAGGAGACTGTATGGTGTTACTGCGAAGTCGTCTTTCATACGATCCGTCGAAATAGTTCGACGCTTCCGAAGATTCTTGGCAAACACCGGTCATTACAGTGAGTGAATTGTCAACGGATGTTTATTCACCGCTGCCTACTGTGGATGAGCTTGAGTTGTTGCTTCCAATGGCGAAGCTGATAAGCAAGCCCCTACCAGCTATTCGCTCCTCGTGTCTAGGGCCAGTTATATGTCTTGCATGTGAACCATTCGATCGAATGTGATTGCTGGCCTAAGCAATCGTACTACTACTAATAAAAAATAATGGGTATATTTCTCATTAAGTGAGAATGCTCGTCCATATTTAGCACTGTGCATATAAATGTACAATTAATACGATGCTCTTGCAAACGAAATATGAAGTAGTGCTTTTCTACCTGTTTGTGTATCTGGCGATGTATATCTCCTGTATGTTTGTATTTTACGCGAATGTGGCATGCACTGTTGCACTTTGGCTATGTTGTATACAGTGAGGACCACTTGCATTGCATGAATTTTTGCTATTTCACCCATTGGACTGTACATGGGCCTTTATTAAATTGATCGACAGGTGATCTCCCCCACGAATAAAATGCCATATTGGTGTCCAGACCGAGGTAGATTCACGGTTTACTACTAAATGATTGCATACTCTCACACAACCTGAATGTTATTGGGAAGCCATTTTACAGTGTAGTGTATGGGATTAGAACACGTTCAACCGCACATTTGTCCTGCTTCGCTGTATAACCAGGATAACGTTTTCCTACGAAGATTCCAAGTGGAACTGCACTGCAATGGTAATGTGTGTATATCGCAATAGGCATGGCCATGGATCAGACTGTAAAACAGTATCAAGTTATGCTTTTGTCTTCGCAGCCAAGGCGGATCGAAATGGAGTTGCTGGCACGGCTCCCGACAGTTTTCGACAGATTGTTTGCCGAATAGGTGTTGAGCGAATGATCGTTGCAGGTTCTCTGCCCGTGCACTGTCAGACTTCCTCGTGTTGCCACGGATTATGCTGTAATACTCCAGGATGGGACGAGTGAGGATGTAAAATATTCCCACTATACGAGATATATTAGCCCCGAATTATGTGGTTCGTGCTAGCTGGTACTTAATCTGCTCCGAAAAGTTAAAGGTGTATTGGAATCTGATTCCGAGGTCGCGCGTGGGCAGTTGCACCTAGAGGCGTTTATTATTCGGTGTGGTAGATATTTCAAGTATTAAATAACGGCGACACGTGAAACTTGATTATTGTGCTGAGAGCTTCATCATCCAATTGTTGTACCATGTCTCAGGGAATGAATGTCATTCTGAATGAGTGGTAGTACATGCTTAAGATCAACTCGTCGTAACTTGTAGACAACGTTTATGTCATCAGCAAATGAGCACGACGTGCCATGTTTAATATTCTTACTGATGTCATTGATCTAAAGAAGGAAGAGTGGTGGAACGAGCACAATTCCTTGTATAACCCTACTGGTGATAGCACGAGAAGAAGGGTGATGGTCGTCTAAGTTGACACTTCGGTTCTGCTTATATTCAATTACTGTGGTTGGGACATTTCAGTGGTGTTGGCAGTAAGGTACACGATATTGTTACGCAGAGGTTCGTATGGTCGAAATCCACACCAACGCATCTGACTGCTTCATCGAGCTTCCTGCGTCACCGCTTGAGGTTTTGAATAATATGCTATCTGATTTCGAAGCTCGTGGTGCAGTCTCAATAATGAGCATTTGCAGTTAGGTCCCATCGGGTTTAAGCAGTAGGTCTTTAAACGCTACTTGCTAGATTATTGCTCTGCAACTCATGAATTAGTTAAACGATTCTGTCGGAAACTTTAAAAGGATTTTGACAGCGTTTTGCTTTTAACTAAATAAGTAAACAAATAAGTGGTGCATTCCTTGGCGATGAGAAGTGCAGTCCAACTATGTGATCTGATCAATGTGTACAGCAGGATAGCACAAATTGACCCATTTATTCATGCTTTATACAATGGTTCCAAAACGGGTATTTAAGTAGTTAGCAGGATTAAGGTATTAAAGAAATTAAAATGGCCAGGAACAATAACAAATGCTGATTTGAACAAACGTCCAGGCAAACTAATACGGCCACCCATGGAATCGTCCCCAGGAGACCTGCTTCCATGCAAGATATTCCCTCGGAAGGTTTCGCCCGCACTTCCATGATATACCTGGCAGCGTGCCGGTGTGGCATAGTAGCATATGAGCCATCACTTGTTTATGAAATGTTATCTTCTTTTTAGGACGGCTTTTAAACATGTATTCTATGCGATGAAGCCTCAGCTCAGTTCGTCATGCGGATCATTCCATTATGGCACTCTTTTTTACGTCAGTCACATAGTGGCAATGTACCTTGCGTAGGTAACTTCTTTTATAATCTGGAAGCCATAATCCGTCACCACTGGAGATCAGCCCAGTCATGGCCGACAATGAAATAAGGGAGCGTGTAGAAGAAGAAGAAGAATTGTGTGGAACAGGTACTATATCGTTAGTGTACAAATAAGCAGGTATGTTTTTACATAAACGTAAAAATGGATCGAACCGGTCATACGATCAAATTGTGCGGCGTGACAGCCGAAGACAGAAAACTACGCGTTGTCCATTGTCAAAATTTCAAATAGGGCATCCGTTATTGCCATCACTGAATTCCAGTATAGGTTTCTGCACAGCTAACTCCAGAAAAGTAGGAGCAATGGTTAGGATTGCTGGCAAATGTAGCAAAGGGAATCGCAGAATAATATTACGAATTAGTCGATTTAATGGGATGTTTGCATCCAATATCCGACATGCTACAGGTACTCAGTAATGATGTTCACTTTATTTAAATTAGTTACCAGAACTTCGGAACACGTTTTGCAGTCTACGTTTTCGTTCTTGTATGTCGGATGCGGTCGATGCAACAAGCTCTCCGACTTCTTTAGATGCATTGGCTCCAGCTTTCCCAACGCGTTTCTTATATTCTAAGGAAGTCATGTGAACTTTGAGAGGCTGAATGCTGGCCGAAGTTAGCTTTATTTCATATATTTGCAGTTCGTGAGAGTTAATCTGATCATTTAGTCGAACAGTGTGACAGATACTTGAGGGAGCACTGTTTCACGATCTTTTAAGTGCTTTGTGCTTTAATTGCACTGTTTATGAATTAGAGAATTTGCACTTTTTCGCTTACTGGATGTGATCAAGTTTAGCCAGAGCCATTGTAGACCAGTGCTGCCAGTGTCGATACTGATAAATTGGTTACGAAGTGGCTCACAAAAAACAGAATTGTGACTAACCAAGTTTCACTTTACACTGTCCAGAGCGTTGGAGTTCCGCGCTATGGATAACCTACTAGCTGCATGCTGGTTGGTTGTCCTGTTTCGTCCTTCACACTTCTAGCGTAGGCCTGCAACCTCGGTGGAATAATGGGGATGAGGGATGCTGCGTATCGTTCCTATGATTGTGAATCGCTAGTGAAGAAACAGCGCGGTGGTGGACGCAGGCTCTGTGACTCGCAATGGTACGCAAACGTAGCATCCATGATGGGTCGATGGAAGTGATGCTACTGACTGCAGAAAGCTACTGCAGCTATAATACACGAGGTCATCAAATTACGGCTGACTGGAAATTCTGCACAGTATGCTCTTATATAAGGTAACATGTTATGTGCACGCTTCTAGTGATGTGCTGTGCGCATAAGTTTCTGAATAAATTCTGATAGAGAGCACTGTCAAGGTGAATAGTGCGGTGGAGAGAATGAAGATGTGATACTAGACCTGTTGGACAGCGCAAATCAATCCGAGTCGAATAAGTGCAAGTTCAGCCAGGTGCACCGGAAAGACAAGCAGTAAATCGAGGAGAGGGCGCTGAATCTATGCGGCCGCACTCTGTGTGAGCTACTATGTACTGAATGAAGAAACTAGGTTTTCAAGGGTGCTTGCTGTTCTACAGTAGGATTACCCTGCTATCGCAGCTTGTGACCACGATGCGAAAGATATGCCTGATACTAGAAAGGCGTGCATTCACTGTTCGCTACAACCATGCTGTATTACGCCCGCCACTGTTAATAGACAGTGAGCCGCTTTTATATAAAACCTTAACCTTTGCTAAAGATCGATAGTGAAGCCAGAACACAAACTACAACGTTTTTGTCCACTACAGTGCGCCACTTTCGTTCACATAGAGTACCACGTTCGTCGACCGATTGTTGTGCTCACATCCACATGCAATTTTCGTCTACCTTTGTTATCGTCTACAGGTATTACTGGAAAAGAGATGAGAAGGGTTATACACCGAAGTACGCGCTTGTTGCCGGAAGCCACGAGCCGGATAGATACACCTATATAGCTCGTGCAAAAATAAATGGGAAAATGGCCATCGGAATGGTAAGTCGTAAACTACAATGCGATGGATAATAAACAGTTACTCGAATTGTTGCTTCACTTACTACAGCTGCATGACTTCAAAGAGCAAATCTCTGTTATAGTGGTACTGAACACAACAATATTCGTGCGATTTTTATGAAGTATTCGTTCCTCTACACATGGTCCATCAATCGTCCGGCCTTGGCGATTTTCTATTGCCAATAGACATGCTATAGATGTATATAGCTGAAGTTGCGGATGCTACTCAAACTTCACAATCAGTACTTAACCGTTATTATAAATTATGTTTGTCACCATTCTGTGGATTTTGTTTGAAGACTTCTGATATCATAAAGTCCAGGTTTCCAGTGCCTCTTAATGAGTTCAAGCAAGTTCGAAACCAGTCGTGGGCAGTTAACACACAATATCTATCTAATTCATCAGTTACGGCCGCAGTGATCGATCTAAGCTAGTTTCCCGTCAAAGAGGGTTGCGGTCCACATGGAGATTGCGCGCTTCAAAACAAAATGACCCCTTTAATCATTGTGAAACATGCATTCTTCTGCGAATGACAGTCAAATCTATTCTCTGTGCCACTGAGATGCAAGAGGAAGGTAATCCGTTGCTTATGCCATCGTTTTAGAGCAATCTGCAGTCCAGAGTTGCTGGAAATCTAAACGAGGCTCATATTTGACACGCTGCAAGAAAATGTATACCCCCTGCCTTCCATCAAAAAACACTCCACACAGATTAAGGCTGTCAAATATGTCACTACAGTGTCCAAAATGGACATATTCCTTGCAGTTCCCTATAAAGGTGACGTCGCATTCGAACCGTTGGATAGAAAAATCTCGACTTCATTGGCCAAGACATTTCCAGCCGCCAACATAAAACTACTTGCCGAAGCAAGATCATTGATTATTCAGCGCTTATATGATAAACTCAAGGCTCGGCCGGAACTGTTTGTCTTATACCAGTTCATCTGCACCCGTGATGCTAGGTATCTTGGACATACGACCAGGTGTTTGTGCAATTGAATCACTAAACATTGCCCTACGTCACTGCGAAAAGGCTCGGTAAAATCCATCAACAGTTCCGTTTTACAACACTTGGGCGACATTGGACATCAATCCCAGATGAACTAGTCGTTTTAACTCGTTTATACTATCCCTAAACACTACGTAAAATAGCTTAAGAAACATCTGTTGAGCATTTACCAAGCCAGTGCAATCAAGGTTCTAAAATCAGAGCTGTGCAAAAGGCACACATTGCTACAGACTCTGAAATTGCCTTGACCGTTTACTTGATATATGACTTGCCTTGACCACCTGCTTCCTCATTCGACAGTCTGATTAGTCAAACAATTAATTTAGTTTTCACACTGCCCAGTTAATGAGCTGTTTGTTTTCTGCACAACCATCTTTGCTTCACAATTGTGCACGCCCCATGAGATTGATGGAAAAGAATATTCTTCGCGCATTTGCTTAAATCTATTTTCATTAAACGTGTCAGCGTAAGAAATGGCTCGAGAGTAAATGTGCGGTTTACAAGGAACACAACCGGCCTCTTTCTGCTTACTGTGCTTTTCAAGCACGATGGGGAAGAACTTCGCAAATGTATCACAACTACTTTTCTGTGGCAAAAGTTAACCGATCGATAGCACAAAGACAACGTTGCAAATGTCTGTTTTCAGTCTTTATCCAGTGTGGAATTTGGCACGTCTGATAAAGTATGACGTTCGCTCCTTTGTTGTAAAACCTATCCACCAGATTTGCTGGCGTGAAGATTGCAATCTTGATCAATCCCATACCTCAGCAACACCATATGAAACAATTATGAAGGTAACGATGCATCCGAGGGCAAATTCCGATGCTAACTCTCCTCGCAGAAATCACCATCCAAACAGCGGGCAGTAAGTTATTCAGAATGAGCAACATAACTGGTAGGAGATGAATATTGTGTGTGGAAGGATTGAAAACGCTGCACACTATGACGCGTTTCGATCTTATTTGGTCTCATCACGTAGTGATAGCAGGCATCAAACTCGGGATCATGGAATGCCATCAGAGGCCTCTACTCTCAGCCACCGAGTCATGGTAGGCGGCGCTTGGGATAGCTGTCAGTGACTGATTGGAGCGTCATTTTGAAATAATCATTGCGTGCATAGATTGCGATACGCACCCACAATGTGGTCTGAAATTTCCAATAAAGCGAGCCATGGCCAATTCTGTACCTAGGACCATGTTTTAAGTGTATGGAAATTGGATGTTGGCCGCACGTAACGCTGCACTCTGCTACGCGTTTGGACCCTAATGGATCTCATCATGTAAAGATAGCAGGCAACGAATTCGGAACCATCGGGATATTATTGGTGACCTCTTCTCCTCTAATCAGCAAGTCATGAGGGGCAAAGCTGGGAAAAAATGGTTAATGACTGCTTGGAGTGTCATGTTAACGTACCCATTGTGTGGTTGGATTGCGACGTCTAACCTCAAATTGGATTGTGATTCGCATTGAAGTGAACCATAGTCAAATCGAGCACTAGGACCGCAACTGAAGCAGATGGAAATTGGAATTTGCCTGTTTGAAGACACTGCACTCTGACACCAGTTTCGAATTTTTTTGACTACATCAACACGAAACAACTAGCACTCGATAGTCATGGCCAGTTGGATGCCAGTCGAGTAAGCGATTAGACTAAATTCAGATCCGTGCTAACCGTGGTCAACCTGCAGAGTGCGTGTCGTAGTTCATTTACACAAGTGCTTCATAATGGCCAATCTAACTGGAAACTACTTCACGATTTAGAGTAGGCGGTGTTTTGGTGTTCCTTCTTTTACGCTTGTGAAGTATTTCAGCAAGGTTTTACTTGCTATTTACCGCTTGGAGTTCGGGATCATACAATAGACATCTCTAGAATGTATCACCTCTTCTATGCTCATCCCAACTTCAATATCGCAGGTGAACGTAGTTCCGCTGCTTTAGATGGAAAATGTCGAACCGTGGGGGAAGGGACTCAACCATCCCGAATTCCAGCTGGGGGTTGCACCCAGTATCCGATGAGGATACCTTCTCCCGTTAGATCCGATGGTGTTGTTAAATGTAGAAAATAGAATGGTTTGGATTGAATTCCGTTTAAAATATTGGCTGCATTCGTATCAGTGGAAATAGCCAAAACATCTAGACAGTAGGAATAGCATGTAGGAAAAACTCAAAAGCAGTTAGACTTCGATAGTCATTTAGAACAATGTTGGCTAAATATACAGCAAACCGAAATTATGCGGAGGCATGACTAATGATACAATGATATCTGTTTTTTCAGCTGACGCAATTGTACCAAGTGGCTCACTTCGTTGTCAACGATGCCATAGAAACAAGCGAATATTACGAGATTTTGGTATGGGAGAAAAAACCAGCCTAACCCGGATCCGTCAACTCGCCTCCTAATTTGTACAGGAATCCTTGGTGTGAACAGATTCTTTTTCGTTGCTGGTTACATTCAACGTGGGTGTTCCCACTATCAAAATCTTTTCTACATCTAATCTGAAATTCCTTCGATCAATGAGAAATGTCTGCATAAACCCATTGAAGTTCTGAATTAGCAAACTGCACACAGTCTTGCCACGCTCACTAATCTCAAGTGTGAACATCTTAAACCTCACCGGTACCATTGTTGGTCGACAGCAGTAACAACCAATCTTTGCCCGAATGTAGCCAGAGCCGCTAAGCACTTAGGTATGCTTGACTGCTCGTGGTTGACAATTATTTTGAAACAACGGAATCATTGGATTCTGACTGGTGGAGGAGATCAAAGCTGGATGAGTTACAAGATGTAAGGTTGAGTAATTTATGGAAGGATGTAGTGTAAAAAGTTGAAGCGGCTTCCTTTGCACTAACCAAGAAGTTAAGCTACCCAAAGCGGTTGTTGTGTAGTGACGACGCTCAGTCGGAAAAGACTGACACACAATACAAAGGCATTAGTGCATCGTGACGACGTTTTCGAAAATCGTTAGCGTAGAGAATAAATTAGCCTAAGAAGAGGAGAGAGTTCTAGTAGTGATCCACGCAATGGCAGAAGACATTACAGTGCCATCCCAACCGGTTCTACTCTGTGCCGAGGTCTGCTGATGTTTTCTCAGTGTAGTACTCTGATTCCCCTTACGAAGGTGAAGAAAACGTAGTTTGGATTTTCAAGATCTGATAATACGTTATCATCTATGGACGCAGACGTTGATACTGTCCACGGCAGACTCCCAGAGTTATTAGCCTCAGTTGGTAAGGGAGATGAAGCATTTTCTTTACATTCTTTGTGGCTATCCGTCTTGGAAATTTGAGTGCGACAAAGGCATACTGCTACCAGGGGCGTCAGGCATGGATGGAGTACAATAAAAGGGACTATGATAAGTGTTGAGCTTCTATGAGAAGATGGAAAGGTCAAACTACTGGGATGCCGCTCACAGTAGGCCAAGAAATTGGCTGGCTTTTTCGTATGCCTTTTCAGTAAAACGTGAACAACCGCGGTTGTCCTGTATCAGCGCTCTTAATTCACATTTGGTGGAAGAGCTTTCGAAGTAGACTACTGCTTAGCACAATTAAGTGTCGAAAAAGCGCAATGACTTCTTCTGTGCTCACGAGATGCGGAAGGTTAACTCAAGAATAATCTATCTGTCAATCTCAACCGGCCCAAGCTTCAGTTACAGTAGGTCATCAAAAACCAATCAGTGACCTACATCACAATAATTCGCACTGCTTACACATTGGACCTGTAGTTTCGTACAGGCCTCTGACGTACGAAACATTTCCTGTCTGTGCACCAATGCACAGATCCTCTTTATCAAACCTTGCTGTTTTCATACCTAAGCCTGTTAACCTGGATGCACGATGGTCACTTGTCTCATGACCGTTCATGTTTCCAAACAAATGACTGCGATCAAAAGCAGATGTCTGTAAAGCGTAGAAGAATTCATGCAGCATGTTGCGGCATTAGAGAGAGAGGACAAGCAAATTCGCCTAACAAACTC